TTTCCCTACAACCCCAAACCTTAAGATACTTCAAGTTTGGCTTTTTTTTGTACCATAGTTCATAAGGAATAGATTGTTTTCCCTTAGTGGGAACCCGGTTAAGAATATGACAAGCTGTCAACATTGCTTCACCCCAGAACCCTTCACTCAAACCAGAGTAAGATAACATGGAATTGATCATTTCTTCAAGAGTTCTGTTTTTCCATTCAGCTACATCATTTGATTGTGGTGCATAACCCGTTGTAGTCTCATGAATTATACCCAAAGATTGGAAATAAGCTGGATCATAATATTCCCCTCCCTTATCAGTTCTTATTCTCTTAATTAATGATTCTTCTTGCAGTTCGACTTCCCTTTTATAAATATCAAACTTTATTAAAGCTTCATCTTTGGAGTGTAAAAATACACATAACAAAGCCTAGAATAATCGTCTATAAACGTAATCATGTATCTTTTATTCCCCAAAGAAGGAGTACTATGAAAATCACACAAGTCACTATGGATCAGTTCTAAAATGTTAGAACTTCTCTCAACTCTCTTAAAAGGAGTTCTAGTATTCTTGTTTAACATGCAAGTAGAACATTTATTAGGAGAAATATCACAAGAAGGTATCAATTCTTTCTTTGACATGAAAAGCATTTTATTATAATTCACATGTCTTAACCTAGAATGCCATAAATCAAACAAACTCAAACCAACATGATTATCATTGACATCAACATTCAAACATAAATTATCCAATACACCACTCTCTTTCAATGAGAGTTTAAACAAACCATTATCCAAATAGCAACGACCTACAAATGTTACACCCCTAGTAATAATGCATCTATTAGCTTCAAATACTAGTTTATAACCAAGACTATTCAGGGTAGGCCCAGATAAAAGATTCCTGCTAATTTCAGGAGCATACAAAATATTCCTAAGAATAATTGCAGTCCCTGAACTAAACACTAGCTCAACTTGTCCTCTTCCAAGAACCTTTATGGTAGAGTTGTTCCCCATGTAGAGGTATTATCCATCAACAACCTTTTGAAAGGTTTTGAACCAATGTTTACTCTTGCACACATGCCTTGAAGCCCCCGAATCAATTCACATGAGTCATCATCCTGCACCATAAAAAAGTTAGGATATGTTGCATTTAAGTCCAAACCGGAATTAAATTCAACCTCATGAAATGGATTACCTTTGATGGATGGGTCCTTGCTTTCAGTAGCACGACCCTCCTTGGCTTTCTCCATTCTTCTCTTAAAAGAAAAACAGTCCTTCTTGCGGTGACGAACTTTACCGCATTCCCAACAAGTAAACTTGTTACTTGTCATTTTCTTTTTGGACTTATTCTTGAAAGAATAGTTATTATTTCTCTTTCCACTAGTAGATGCACTAGCTCTTCCTTCATCTACCATATTAACGGTAGATGTGCTAGGATTTCCATCCTTAGCACCTTCCATGGAACGAATCCCTTCTTCAATTTGAAGATAGGTGGCCAAACCGGACAATGTCATGTCCTCCTTCTTATGTTTCAAGTCATGCTTAACATTTTTCCAACTAGGGGGTAACTTGTCAATAATACTTGAAACAACAAATAATTCATTCATGGCTATCCCATGTTGTTCCAAGCTACCATAAATACGTTGCAATTCATGAAATTGGTCCATTATGGACCGACCATCAACAAATTTAAAGTTATTAAAATTGCTAACTATAAATTTCTTACTTGAAGCGTCTTCTACCATGTACTTGCTCTCCAAGGACTCTCAAATCTCCTTGGCCGATTCTACATTTTGGTAGACATCAAAAAGATCATCCTCCATCCCATTCAAAATGTGACCACGACATATGAAATCGTCGTTGTCCCACTTCGATATCTCCCGAACGGATTCCAAGGTTTCATTCTCATGTTCGTCCGGCCTTGGAGTACTTATGACATAGACAACATTCAAAGATGTAAGAAGAAAATACATCTTCTTCTTCCATCTCCGAAATTCCACACCGTCAAACTTTTTCAGTTTAACAAAATTTGTGGTATATTCTTTCACACTAGACATGCTTGCTAAAGATGATTAAACCTCTTTAGATTGTAAGGTTTTAGAGAAATTCAAACAAAGAATTTACTTAAGATTGTGAGAAAAAAATTAAATAGTGTATATTAATCAAATTATACAACAACCAAATACTTAAGCAAAGTATTACAACCAAACACCAAATAAACAATGTATTTCTGAAATTACAAAGAAAAATCACTAATGTAAAAGATTCTAGACTTGCCTCAACTCTAATCCTTGATGATGATGAACATGAACATGAGAAAACTTGTGACCACTTGAGTCTCAAACCTTGATACACTGTCAAAGGCGTGTAAACACTTTCCTAAAGAGGTTTATTTTCCCCATACGGTGCTTGGGTTAAACCGGAAATCCTTTTTGAGATACAATTGACAGCAAACTTCGTTCTTAGCACTAGAATTGAAGAATAATGAACAATTCACAAATTTGGCTAAATTTCAAGAGTTTTTCTCACAATAGTTTGCAAGAAGATTGAGAGAAAAATTTGGAGAATTTCTTCTTTTCGAAGAGGACATAAAATGTTTTGTGTATGTTCTGATTTACACGAAAATTCTCTTTAATAAAAGAAATAACCGTCAGAAAATAACCGCAGAACTGGGAAGAGGTGCAGGCGCGACACAAATAGGCGCGGGCGCGCCTCCTAACTGAGCGGGCGCTCCACTTGGAGGAGCGGGCACTCCACTTATTGGAGCGGGCGCTCCTCCCAGAATGCTTGCGAATGAATCTTAAAGACAGTGAGGGGCGCGGTTTTAGCGCGAGCGCGCCTCCAACAGCGCGGGCACGCCCCCACTTTCATCTAACTTGCTGATTTCCAGAGAGGTGCGCGGTTTAGGCGCGCTCTTATCGCGGCCGCGCCTACCTGGCGCAGGCGCGCACCATACAACACTCTAAATCATCAACAATCTAATCTATTATTCAATATTTATTAATACTAGTTGTGGTTCTGCGCGTTTCGCGAGCGGTACTCAATGGCGGTGATTATTATTAGTAAGTAATGTATCCAGTGGTTCTGTTACACGGTACTTATGTTTGCGTAGTGTGTGCCTGTCGTAAGAATTTAAAGTATTAAAGGCAATCTAAGAGGAAAATGTTGCATTCTAAGTTATTATATGAGAAAGATGTAAGTTAAATTATGTTATTAGAAGAAGTAATTTGAATTATCATGTTAAAAAGAAGTAATGTTTTTAGAATCGGATCAAAAGATGTTGCTACAATAAGAAGTATAAATAGTTCTTATTTTAATATCATATTGGCTATAAAATTAATGATATAATGTAATAATAATCATTCAAATAAGAGTTTTAAAATTATTTGTTGGTTTGTGGGGGTAAATGCTAATGTTTGTTATAGCTAATGGCGAAAGGGCTAAGGACATATAAGATAAGGTGGTCATTTGTGTTTTTAAATAATTGCTATTATTTTCATAAGTGTTCTTCTATTTCTTAAGCATTTTAGTAAACCTTTTTTAAAGCTAATTGCCTGGCCGATTTTTCTTAAGTGGTCTTTCTCTCTCCAAAGCTAATTACCCTAATATTCTTAAGTGATCTTTCTTAAGTAGTCTCTCTCTCCCCCTAAACTAATTGAATTGATTTTCTTAAGCGATCTTTCTTAATTAAGTAGTCTATTTCTCTCTTTCCTAAGTGATATTTCTCTCTTTTTGAATGATCGATCTTTCTTAAGTGGTCTCTCTTTCTCTCTTTCTCTCCCATTCTCTCTATACCTTTTACTAACTCTTTCTCCTAAGCTAATTTCTCTTATTTTCTTAAGTGGTCTATTTCAAATGATCTATGTTTCTTAAGTAGTCTCTCTTTCTCAAGTGATCTTTGGTAAGTGTATTCTCTATCTCCCTCTCTCTCAATCGATTAATTAGCTTTAGTGATCCATCATTTTAGGGATCCATCATTTTCTTAAGGATCCATTCTTTCTCTATTCATCTCTGTATTTTGATCCTATCCTTTCTCTATCTTATTTCTCTTCTCTATATCCCAAAGTCTACAGATTTAGCTTCTTAGTAATCAGTTTACAGTCAATATTACTAATATAGATGACCATTTCTTTCACGAACACAAGTCAATCTCATATGTGAGGATGACCACCCTATTCACAAGAAAGGTGTTTTAAGAAAAATGATTGATAGAGTGTAACAAACATACGACACTGAATTGGGGGCAAAACATTTCGCCTACGCTGATAAATAAAAATTGTTTACTATTGAGGCAGTCATTTAGAGGGTAAAAGAACAAATTGAATGTTGTTCTTAAAAGTGTTTGAAATTAGAAATGGAAATAGATAAGCGTGAGATTTCACTAAATGTAGTACCACTTAAGGCTGAACCAGATCCGCCAAAGAAAAAATGTGTCCCTATGCTTAGATACAATAATATAGCCAAAGGTCAAAAGACTCAGCTACTTAGTAATCACTTCTAATTAAGTCAATATTACTAATGTGGATGTCCATTTCCTTGATTAACACATATATTTTTATTATAGTTGTTATTCAAACAGTGCTATCTGTCTCAAAGTATCATCTATACTTCTAAATAACTTACAAAACTCAATATCATGTATAGATATGGTGACCTAGCTAAGACAAAAGGTGTTTGTTATAAGAAAAGGTGCTTGATACAGTGCAAGAAACATATGATATTGAACAGCTGTTGAACACTTTAAAGATGAAAATAAATTGTGCTTGATATAGTGCAAGAAACATATGATACTGATCGGCTGAACAAGTTAAAGATGGAAAGAAATTATGATAAGGCTAATTAATGTTACTTATTTAACGATGTGAATTAAAATAGGTACACACTTTTTAAGTTATTATGTTAGCTATGTGTAACCAGCCATATGAAAATTTGTAATGTAAATAAATACTACTATATTTAGGCCTATAAATATCTGCACAGTATTCGATAAAAATAAAAAGAGACAATGAACATTAATGAAGACAAATAAGTAAATAACCATTTTAAAAATATAAGTATCTAAACACCATGTATAAAAGTCTCTCAAATTTTTTAAAAGGTAAGGAAGGAAAAAAAAAGTTACAATCACTTGAATTAAATAATTGACATTAATAATATTGTACTCATGTACAATATTTACAACAAATAACACACACTTGAATTTTATTTTCCTTTTTTCTCGAGCACTTCTACTCAGTATAAATGTAACATGAAGTGAACTTAGTTCTATACAGTACTCCGTAACAATCGGCGACCTTATTTCGAACTGCAGTATCAAAAACTAAGCACGGACTCTGTTAGGGGCGCACCCCTGCAATCCAAACATTGATTTAAGTATTAGATGTGTATGCATTAGTTAATTTAGCTTACCTTCTATTTTCTCTTTCTCCTGTATTTTTATTATTATTATTTTCATAGCTAATTTTCCTATGAATTTATTAAGTGCACAAATACAAGAGTTTCAGAGCTCAAATTACACTAACACTATTGTGTATTAATGTGTTTCTATTTTTCACGCCATTTCAAACTCTAATGTTCGTTTATGATAGATTCCACACATTAGCCTTAACCAAAGATTATAATTTAAATGAGATTATTAATTTCAAAGATAGAAGAAATAATTAATACAAAGTATAAGTTATTTAACAAATAAAAAGCTTACCAATTCCATCAGACGAAGTCGATCTATGCACTTCTTACTCGGAGAAGGAAACTTGTCAAGATACTCTAGAGCATTGTACAAGAGATCCTTGTTGATAGATATTCCAATGAGAAAGCTCACGATGACAATAATGAGAATAGCAGCCCATAATGACTTTGGGGCTATGACAATATAGACTCCCGTCATAAACGTCAATAATGTGAAATTTAGTGCTAAACGGAGAAACACCATACTTCGGTCAATCAATGTCAATGATTTACTAAAATCAAAGACCATGGACCATATGAGACAAATCAACACCAACATTGAAAAAGATAGGGCTAGTGTATTAGATACCAAAAACACCAAAAAAGCTGCTTTCTTTGCCAAAATTGCTTCCCCGGTATCTTGAGTAAATCCACCAGGGAGAGTGAATCCAGCAGTGAATGTAATGGTGGCTAGTAAGGCAGCTACCACAAACAAAGAATTTCGCACATCCAACAAATTTGTCTTAGTTCGAAAGTATGTCGTTTTAATCATTGGATCAAGCCCAATTCTCTTGCACATTCGGTCCTGCAATGATTCATAATTGAAGTTCACTTCTAGCTTCCAAACCATATGACATAAAAAAAAAAACCTTCGTATGCTAGTCCACATATATTATTGCCCAACATAATTAATTCAATAAAAGTTGTGTTCATTGATATCCAAAGCTCGAATAGATCTTATCTTTTTGTGTTTTAAGGAAAAGGAAATGGTAAAAAAGAGCAAAATATTTATTTTATTTTTTGCATTAAAGAATCATCATATTCATTTATATAACATTTAATAAAATGAATCTTAATATATAGCAAATTTTATTGGAAAGAAATCATACCCATGCCTGGTTGTCAGCGCATTTCTGAGCCAATAGATCTATGGCAGAATTATCTCCATCATCGTTGATGTCATAGTTGATCTTATCAACGCTAAGTAAAGTTTCAGTCAAGAATAAGTTGTCATCTTGTATTGCTTTGTGTAAAGGTGTTACACCATGAGAATCTTGAAGATTAATTAGATCCTTCATGCGTGGAATCTTGAGAAACTCTTCATAGTCTGTTAAACTTGACAGTTTTATATGATGTAAAGGAGAATCCTTTTTTTCAATACAAAGATCTCGAAACGCTCCTGGATTATGGTCAATGAAGGCACAAAGAGCTGGGACATGACCTTTTTCACAAGCTTTTGTCCAAGCCAGGGGTTCCCTACTGAACGCGGATGAATCTTTTTCCAAAACCGCTTTTATAAACCATGCAGAACCAAGTTCAAACGCTCTATCCCAAGGTGATTGTCCATTTTCATCTTTTTGGGTGATGAATTCTGGTGCTATATCTACTAACCATGTCCCAAAGCTTACATCTGCTTCCATTTATTCACCAAAAATTAGAAGAAAATCAGACCCAAATAAATCACTAAGTACTTTACAAGTTTACATTACTTCTTAGTCAAGATATGTGTTAAAAAATTTCTACAACGTAGGGGAAGAAATACCCTTTCAATTTAAGTGATTAGGGGCATTGTCAAGATATGTGTTAAATTAGAAGAAAATCAGACCAAAAATTTCTACAATGTAGGGGAAGAAATACCCTTTCAATTTAAGTGATTACTACTAGAGTGGAACAAATCATACCTGTTAAGGTTGTAGCAAGATGCAATATATTCCAACCAGTCGAGGAATCTTTTAGATATTTGGTCCAGCTTCGCTTATCCAACTTTCCCAACATGGCTTTGGCTACTTCAGAGCAACTGTTTTGTATAGCAAGAAACAACGTAAAGTGCTCTGGCTCATAATATTCTAGCAGTTTTTCCATACTTTGATCATCCCGGAGTAGTGACAATATGTATAGTCCAAGATCTTCACGCTTGTTGAGTAATGCCAAGTGTAGAGGCCCTATATTTTCTTTATTCTTTACAAGCCATGGCAATTGATTGATACCATTTACGGTCCAAGCAAATTCGTATTTTTTGTAAGCTTCAACAAGGAGTGCTACAATCTGGTTTGTTGCTTTATGAGTGGTAGTTGCGGCAACATGAAAAGGACTGTTTTGATAATTGTAATCCTTAACATTAACAAGTTTTACAAACTGATCTTTCCACTTGCTCTCCAATATGAATTTAAATAGCCATTCTTTGTCACTTTTTACCCAACTATGAACTATTGTAGATCCTTCTTTATCTACTCCTTTGATTAATTCTGGATGTCTTTCCATTAGTTGTGCACAAAAGTTTTCTGCTTGTAAAGAAGAATTGCTATTTAATAATTTTTATACAATCATTCATAATTAACACATTCTTCAATGCATTAATTCAACTGTAGTATCTTTAACGAATTATTATTAAAAGTTACTCGTAAAAAGTTGGTTTTTGAAACTGCAAATCGAAAACAAAACCAAAATGATCACACGTGATTATGTTCGTTTTTAGCTAACTTATGTTACATAAATAATGTTAAAAGTTGAAATGTAATAATTGTAAAAATTTTGGACCATGAAGTGGGGTATAGAGGTATAAAAGTGAGTTTTCTTACAATAAAGGGATAAATCAAGAGTAGAAAGATATAAAAATGGAGGTAGTATTTATAATTCAACTTTTAACAAATTTAAACTATGAATAGTTAAAGTTATTAGTAATTGCAAAGTTGTGCACGATGAATTATGTGTAAAGTCAATCGACATGGTACAATTAAATAAATAATTGGCTACTTTTTTAAAAAAAAAAAATTAGAAAAAGTTTTGCGTGAGATCAGACTCGCCGTGAGTCTAATATATCTGACATTAATAATCTAATGTTTGACATTAATAATATAATATCTAATATGAGAAATTTAATATCTGACATTAATAATCTAATATATGACATTAACAATCTAATATCTAACATTATTAATCTAATATCTGACAACTGTAATCTAATATGTGACATGAGTTTATTCGATTATTAATGTTAGATATAAAATTATTTATGTCATATATTATATCATTAATGTAAGATATACTGGACTCACTGTGAGTCCTCACCCAATTTTTTTCATTTATTTATATATATTCTCGTATAATTTGTTAATTAAAAAACGTCATTATTTCGCTTTTTATTATGAGATGAAACATTTTACTCTGTATTTGTTATTTTATCCAAGCAGAGTTCAATACTCAAGAGTGCTTGTTTGGTTAATCTTTAAAATTGAGGGAAATAGATCAAAATTTATGGAAACATGCAAATGGGGGTGTTTGTTTGATGACAATATAGTAGTAAAGTATCTGTAAAAAAAAACATAGTAGTAAAGTGAAGGAAGTAAAAAATCATAGGATCGAAATTAGATAAATAGATCGTCGACTCACCTGTGCATAGTGGAGCAAGGTGCAAGATATTGAGCTTTTGATGATTCGTAAGAAGTTGATTCCAACCTTTGTTATCGATTATCTTCAATATCTCTTCGGCGACTGTATGACACTGAGCCATGACAGCCAAGAATAGAATATTCTTGTTACTTTCGATAACTACATTTTCATCCACTGACAACAAATATATTGCGAGATTTTCATACTTATTGGCTATGGCCAATGACAAAGGTGTATTTCCAAAGTTGTCCTTCACTAACCAAGGATGTTGATTATATGAAAGGCTTGGTGATTCTTTTTTGTAAATATCTATCAGCAATTCTGCAATTTTTGTAGCATCTTCTGCACACGGGGCGGCATTTTTACCATCATTTGCCCACATGTGTAATGGATTGCGACCACAATAATCATCCGTTAAGGATACCAAGTATGTGAAAATCTTATTTACATCTTGGATGATATCCTTACAATCTAAGAGAATTTTGAATGGCCAAATTTTACCATCATTTGCCCACATGTGAAATGCCGAACATCCATTCTTATTTTTTTGTTTAATTAGCTCTGGCTCTCTCTCAAGTAGTTCTCGAAAGATTTCTTCTGATTCTTCTGTAATAAAAAAAAAGGTTTTCAAAGATTATAATTGTGCACATGTGTGTATATTTGTGTGTTCATGTTTATATACATATACTGATATACATATATTCGTATATGTTAACTCTCACTAAATTATACGGGTACTTTATTTGATTTATATTGATGTTAGACGTACCTAAACTCCTCCTTGTATCTTACCTCTTAAAAATTAAAAATTAAAAAAAATTGATGTTGTACGAAGTACAATATTATTTTAATACAACTTTCTCATTGAAGTGTTTGTTCCATTTTGACTTACCATGTGTTTTTTCATCGTATAACTTTGACCCACACTGTTAATAATGAAATTTTGTGGAATTTTTTTTATTAAAATCGGTTGTTTAGAAAAACTACCTTATAAAATATGTTATAATAAAGTAATTTAGTTTATAAAATGCTGTAACAGGTTTCCATGCTTCCGTTGCCATATTATGGGAGTTTAACTACTCTTTCAACATCTACTTTTCGTTTATTTTCTTTTTATTTTCCTTCTTCTTTTTCATAAAAAATTAATAAGGTAGTGTCCCATAAAATTTCCTATATTTAAATATTTATTTGTAAAAGAAGTATTAAAAAAAATATTACGTTCATTATTGAAAGATATTAATAATAACCATGTATGTTTACCTGAGCATTCGATTAAATTTATTGAGTGGAATGGAGTGTAGCCATCGTGGACGTTGCAACTAATAGGATGGGGGGACCTCAAAATCTCTAAAGCTAACTTGCTCATCTTCATGCGTACAGCTTCGTAGACTAAGGAGCTACCACGATAACTATGCATATTGGAAATCAACTCCGTATCCATTTTATAAATTTCCAACGCACATTCTTCTTGATAACTAAAAACAGCCACAAAGCAAGGGTTATTTCCCGTGGAATCCTTGAATAACCAGGGTCGTTGATGTTCCAAAAGATGAGATCGGAATCCTTGTTGATAAACATCTAGAAACATCTTTACTATCTCTACATTACCAACTTTGGCTGCCTCATGGAGAGGGTTGTATTCTTCGTCCCCTGGTTGAAGAAGGAGTTGGTGCATGGCTTCTTGAGGTAAAATCCCCATGGCTTCTCTTATAAACTCTTCTTGGTTTTCGGTTGCGGCCATGTGGAAGATGTTGCCATGATGGCGTCTTCCAGATTGGTCATCCTCCTCAGGATAGAAAGTCAAGTAGTATTCGATGGGTTTATTGGATTCAACACAATGTTTAAGGAAGTCTACATCTCCTCTCACTGCTGCATTTCTCAGCTCTTCATCCATTTTAGAGGATGTCATGATTGGAATTTTGGGTTTGAGGGAATATTTTGAGTTTTGAACTGCTCTTTAGAAACAAATTCTAAAATCAAGTGTGGTTTGGAGTCGTATGAATTTGCTTGATTGAATTTGTATGGAGGAGAGAGGTAATTAATGTAGTGTTGTTTGGGAGAGTAATTTGTATGGAGTCGTAATTAACCGTTGATTTATGGGATTGTTTGATGGACGGTGGAGATGAGGGAGTTGTGTAAAGGAGTGTGTAACGGAGAGATGGTCTGGCAAGTGGGGTAGTGTCAGTGGCCGCGTTGTTGACCGTGATTAAAGGGGATCAAAGTTCACACAAACCATAATCATTATTTATATTACCTCCGTTGTGTATTATTTGCAACAATTTGACATAAAATGTGATTGAAAAGTGTTTGATCACTGCAAATAATACAAAACATATATTATATAAGATTTGAATATAATATCGTCATATCACCAAATCATGTCATATCTTATATTTTATATTTACGTATATAATAAATGACAATGTGAATAACAAATTTAATTATGAGAAAATTGAGTCATAAATTAAATGTATACTACTCCGTAATGATTAACATATGTAATGACTCAAATTACTCTGTAATAATTTTTATTTTTTTGAGGAACCCTATCTTTTAATTGAGTCCGAGTATGAGGATATGCTTTATAACTTGCATTGGAACAATTGTTTGCTTGTTTGTAACAAATTTTTATTATGTAACTTAATTAATGATTTAAATATGTTATGTTTAGACTTTATAACCTATGTTTTTTTTCTAATTTTTTACACACCAATATAATATAAAAAATAAAATTTATTAGGGACCATACAAGTTCTGGATCATTTAGAGATCCGAATAAACAACGATTGATGATGACATGATTTAGCCAAGTTGCCAGACAACATTTATCAGATATTAAAGCTTAATGATTTGTTCAATACTATGTTTTTTTTTTTTTTTTTTTGCCTTTTCTTTTTAGATATTTGCACCATAAATAAACTTTAAAAGTCTAAAATAAGAATAATAGTGCTATCCTGCTTTTGAGTGGTAGGATGGATATTTCCCCGCGACTTTCGGGTTTCTCATGTTAACCTCGTCTTTATTTATTGCTTTTTTGATTGATAATTATGGTAGAAATTGTCAACTAGTTTATATTTATCATCTTCAGTTTATTATTTATAACAAGGATATATTTTATGTCTTACAAATATTACCTCTTTGTTGCAAAAAATATAAACAGGAGTAACACTTATTTTAATCTATACTCTAAATATGATTATATTTATTCAGCAAAATTGACCTCAACACCTTTAATAATAACTTAGGTGCTCCTAGAAACACCCTCAATTTAATTAATAATTAGCACACCAAAGCGGGCAAACAAAAAGAGCTAGGGCTCGGTTTAGCCAAAACTATTTTGATTATGCCCGATTCAACATGAGGGTATTTGACTCAACATATGTCACCCACTTGATATGCAATGTTTGGATTACTCACCAACTCGCCCTTGGTTTCGAGGTTGATAAAAATTCAATACAGTATATTGTGTTATACTTTTTGATAAATTTTATACAGTGTTAAAGACATTGTATTATTGATATGAGCTTGGTTCTGTTTGTGTTGAATACGGGTTTAGGCCACACCCGCAAACCAAGAGAGAGGAGTCCACTTTGCAAGTCCAAAGGAAGTTCCATCCCAAAATCATATGGTAATAGGAGGAGTAAAAGCCTCATTTTGTACTTTTTTAATATTTTTTTTTCAATTTGCATGCTGAAAAAATATCCCGTTAAAGGTTTTAGGGTCATTTTGGCCCATAAGGATCCAAATTGAGCTCGGATTTGACAAAAAAAAAACGTAAAAGCCACGTTTTGTGAATTCTAAATTTAACTACGGAAATCTGAATTCACAAAATGGAGATTCTACGTTATTTCTTTGCAAAATCCGAGCTTAATTTGGTCCTTTAAGAATTAAAATGACCCTTAATTCCTTCAACGGGACATTTTTTTTAGCACGAAAAATGAGAAAAAAAATTAATTAGGTGTAAAGTGGACCCCACTAACGTCAACATATAACGGAGGGTTAACGACAAGATTACAGCGTAGTCAATAAATAGACCTTAAGGTTACAGCGTGAAATTTTTAAAAGAGGGACACAACGTGAAAAAATGATCACATAAGGGTTGTAGAATTTCCCTAAAAAACATTTATTAACCATTTACTCACGTGAATAAAGTCAGTGTCCTCAAAAGTTAAAATAAATGGTCCTTGGCACCTAGAATGATTCCCCATCCACCTCACATTAAAATAGAATTGATATCAGACTACTACTTTTAAGTAGTAAATGACAAAATGAATATAATTGTAATAAATATTGGTAGTAGCTAGTAGGTTTGGTAGTACATGTTTGATTACTAACGTACGATGATGGCATGGTTATAAGCCAAATTGCCAAACAACCGAGTATATTTGAAAAAGGGCTAATGATTTGTTCAATACGAGTACTATCTTAATTTATTAGAAAATTATTGATGGTAGTCATGTATTTTTGCTCAATTTTATGGTAATAAATAAAGTAGTAGGCAAATTCTTTCAAATATCATTACTTTAATAAGTTTTCGGTTTTCCTAACGTGATGATATTTTTCAATAGCAACTAATTAGCTTAATAAATAAGAATTAACCTAATCAATAACAAAAAAAAAATACATTAAAAATAATAATCTTAATTTATTTTAATTTCCCTACACCTTCCTCTTCCACCTCCATAACAACCATGACTACCGGAATGCAACTTCTGCCCACCTCCTTTTCCTTGCACCCCTACCCTTTCCCGCCAACCAGTGCACCTCCTCTTCCTCGTCTACTAATTGGGCACCTCCTCTTCCCCACCCTCATGCCATGTTCGTCAACCTTACTTCAACTTCACCGGCCACAAAACCCTAAAAACACCACCCTCACTCTCCCTCTAAACATTGAAAACTTGGGTTTAATGTGAACGAAGTGATTTCAAGTGGGTTTCGAGAATCAAGGTGGGTTTCAGGAAGTGTAAGGGATAGCTTCTGCTAAGCTATTTTCCCGCACCCAGCTCCACCTGGAGGTGCCTATCGGCCGTCACCATAACACAACCTGGCCTCAATAGCCCATTAAAGTCGGCGCCGCAGGCTAACCAGTACAACTCCGGCTCAGAGGAGTTTGTACACATATAAATAGTACGCCAAGTACAATGAAAAGGGGGTTAGACAATTTCAGTTTTATCACTCTCACTCTCTCTCTTTAATAAGTACTTTCTCTTACTTCTAAACTAGCTGAATTAAGCTTCGGAGGGGGAGTTCCTTGAGCCACCCACGAGGGCACTGACGTGTGCTGTCTATATTAGTATATCAGCCGACCAAACCAATTGCCAGCCCAAACCACCAATACAACACTTAAAACAATTGGTGCTAGAAGAAGGACGACACATGTCATCAGGTTGTTTACCCTATTGTTCGATTGTCATCACATTTAGGTCAGATTAAATATCGAGTACAAGTTGTATCGAATTCGATTAGGAGCGGGTTTATGATGGGTATTTTTGGGTTTGATATTTGTTTGGGTCGGATAATCATCAAGTCATCAAGCCATTTTTATCCTAGTTGGATTCATATCGATCTATTTGGTTCGACCCAAACATACTGTATATAGTTATGCTTTCCATTATTCGAATAATTAAAACAAAATCTAAACTTACACTAATGAAACTGTTGACATTTGAAGAGTTTTGATGATGATGAGAAAAGCAAATTCATCTAATAAGGTTTCTCTAGTGTTGGATTAGCTTACACGTGAAGTAGACTTAGGGAGTTAAAATTAATCTGAGCTAAATAAAATATAAGAGGAGCAAAGGAAAGTAAGAAATAATTGAAGAAGAGTTCCATAAGGAACTAGACCAATGATCCCTAATAGGAACACAAAGAGAAGCTTCCTAGCACGAGCATGGCAGCAATCTAGATAGAGTAGCTTGGGCTTTGTTGAAGACATCAATTGGGCTGCGAGTTTCAGTAAGACACTGGAGACAAATTGACAACAGGGTTTAATTCCTAGTCTGCGAAGAACTCAGGTTCCTATTAGCAGCATAGAGTTTGATGGATGTAATCAGATGATAAGCTTGAAGACTTTCATTAAGGTTTATAATAAGTTTATTTTCTATAGGTTGTTGTAAATATGTGGTTAGTGGTATGCATGAAACCTATTGGACATGATAAAGCTTGGCAAACTAGAAAAAAAAAGGAAGATTTATAAAAGATGTATGTGTGTTTATGAAAAAGATTTATTTCTGATTTCATCTTATGAAATTGGTTTTGAAAAGTATTTAATTTTTTTCAAACCCTACTTAGCGCATGTTATTTTCCTATAAATAAGAGACTTCATAATTTAACTAAGGAGGAGTAGTGCGAGTTTATGCGTGAAAACCTTAAGATCACTTTAGTGTAAGTTTATTTGCCTTAACAATGAGAATTTGCTTCGGGTTTAACGTGTAGTTTTTCAATCACATATTAGAATTAAACTTTGGAGTTGTTATGGACTTGGGTGAGTGGGTTTATATTTGATACACAGTGAGTGAGCTTTGTGTGTGAAGCTGAGAGAGTAGTACCTTGGTAGTGGCTGAGTAAAACTTAAGTCAAGGACTTAAGTTGGGTAAAATAGAGTACTATCGTATAGCAAGTTTAGGATGGAACTTGTGAGAAAGGTTTGATCACAATACGTGTTTGAGTAAAACCATGCTTACTCATTCGTGTCATACTAAAAACTATTTTTCATGCATGTGTTTCCATCACAACATCTTATGTAACCAAATAACCAATGATTTCTTGTTTTATCATTTATGTACCATTTAAATATAAATATTATTACGTTATAATTTACTGTATCCCAATTTAAAAACTTTCATGTTTATTTTATTTTATGTTTAATTTCCCCTAATTTGGTCATGATTTCTCAACATCTCTTGCATGTGCCTATAATTTAGCTTTATTTCTCTTTTCATCATATTGAATCTAAAAATATGGTGTATCACCTACATTTTGTAATAATAAATTAACATTTGTAGGATGTATTCTTGCATGAAAAAAAAAAAGAAAGAAAGAAAAAAAAATTGTTAATATGTATCTTATCACGTGCGAAGATTCGCTCTATATATATGTAAAATAATATCTCATCCACCCCCAATTTTCAAGTGAAAAGTTTTCACACTAAATATAAGAGACCTCATGCAGTCATGTCACGTCCACACTTCAAGCTCAAAAGATTCTCATATGAGGGACGTATACAGTATAGTATATATGAATCGATAATTGAGTTCAACCATCAGTATTCACCAAAAACTTGACACACATGTCAATTCATGATAAAATAAATTATTTATAATATTTAAATGATAAAATAATAAATTAATAAATATTAGTAGTAGGTAGTAATATAGCTGACGAACCTTGTCCAGATTCTAAAACATATTTGATTATAAATTAATATCAACGTTTGAATGTTTGATGATGACATGATTTAGCCAAGTTGCCAAACAACTACTTGTAGATTTGATTTGTATTTTTTTGCCTTTTCTTTTTAGTCGTCGAACACAATATTTATTTTAGGAAATTTTATGAGAAATCACCTTTTAAAAAAGTGTTCTATAAATCACTTAATTTAAATTTTTGTTGTAATTTGCCTCCAACAACATAACAAGTGACTATTAAATCGTTAATAGTCAAAACTCATTTTCCGGCAGAGTGAATTACCACGTAGATGTTAAATTGTGTGGTTTTTATAGCATGCTTTTAAAAGGTATTTTTTTAAAAAAAAAAAGAAATAAAATTATGAGGATTTAAAAGGTGGTTTTTACAAAATTTCCTTTCTTTCCATTAAAAAAAATTCCTTTATTTTATAGTCATATATCTAATACTCCAGAAATCTTTAAATTAATTTTTGTTAATATAATCATAGTAAATACTCATAAACAAAATTGCATTACTTTGAATGTATAGTATGTATTAAAATTGAAATAAAATGTTAAGCCCTATATTAGTGTATAGTTATTGGGCCTATGTGTTGAGCCCTAATTAAGGTTGTATAAATATACTTGTTCATACTCTAATAGAAAATACGCTGCCCTATTCTCTCTATTCTTGACATGGTATCGGAGCCTCTATACTCTAAACCCTAAAAACACTACTCTAAGCCCTAAAAATCTGATTTTTTTTTCTACACTCTACTCGATCAATTCACAATGGTGGACGATGGCAAGATCGATCCTTCTTCCCCTTTCTATCTTGGCGTAGGAGATCAACCCGACAACTTGATTACTCACGTGCTCTTGAAGGGTGAGAATTATTTAGCATGTTCTAGGGCAATTACTTTGTCCTTGAAATCTAGGAGGAAATTCGGATTTGTTGATGGAACCATCTCCAAATCGGCTGACAAGAACAAATTGTTGGATTGGGAAACTGTTAACTTTATGTTGGTGTCATGGATTCTGCGAGCTATCGACTTTAAACTTGCGGCTTCAATCCCTTACTTTGAGGAGGCGATGAAATTGTGGGATTACTTGGAGCAGTGGTTTTGTGTGGCTAGCGGACCTCGTTTACAAAAATTGAGGGCTTCAATTACAGGCTGCAAACAATTGAAAAACATGTCTGCTGAAGACTATTATACTACTTTGATGGGGTATTTTGATGATCTTCTTCGTCTCAAACCCCCTCATGGATGTGAATGTGGCCATTGCACGTGTAATGTTGCTGCAAAGTATGAATTGGATAGAGAAGAAGATAAATTGCATCAGTTCTTGATTGGTATTGATGATGACAAGTATGTTGTGGTGCGCACGAACCTTCTCTCGCAGCAACCCCCTACTACTCTTGACCGTGCGTACCAGGCTTTCTTTCAAGAGGAACGTTCTCGTGGCATTACTCAAGGGCATGCTCAATTAGAGAAGGTTGAGGCTCATGTTTTTGCTTTATCCTCGGATCGAAGGCCTTCTCAATCTACCACTCGTGTTGGTGGCTATATTGATAAATCAAAGTTATATTTCTCCCATTTCAAACGCTTTGGCCACGATAATTCAGGCTGTTTCATACTCCATGGTTACCCCCCTGGGTGGCTCGAGAAGTATGGTAAGAAAGGGGGGGCATCATCCTCGGGGCAGCAGGATGCTCCATCAGTGCCCAACAGGTCTGCTGCTGCCTCTTCTTCGCCTGCTACTGCTGTTACGGCTGTGTCTGATCACAGCAAGCCCACAGCTCGTGCTAATGTCGTGGGCGTCTTTCTTGCTGCTGCTACTTCTCTGCCTTTGCAGGAAACTCTCTCGGCTTTATCGGAGCTTCAACCCGAGCATGTCCGTCTTCTTTTGACTATGGTTAATAATCGTCAATACGACAAGATGACGGGTGAGTATTTTTCGTTATCATGGATCATCAACACCGGCGTCTCACATCATGTTACTGGTGACGAATCATGTTTCATGGATGTCCAATTCATTTCTCCTTGCCCTGTCGGTCTTCCGGATGGTGTTAAGCCATTGCTACGTAGGAAGGGCAAGTGTATTTAGATGACAGAATTATTCTTGAGAATGTTTTATTCGTTCCCAAATTAAATTGCAATTTAATTTTCGTGTCTAAAATGATCGATAATTCACGTTGTACAATACAATTCACTGACTCTTTATGTGCTATACAGGACCAACACTCGGGGAGCCGATTGGAGGCAATGAATGGATAGATGGACTCTACTATTTTCGGCGAATTCCTAAAGTATGTGCGGTGACAAATCCGAAGGTATCTGCATTCGAGTTATGGCATCGGCGTATGGGTTATCCGTCGGATAAAATTGTCAAGTTATATATTAGTTCCTACTATTAGTACTAGTTCTGGTAGAAAAACTTTGAATAAAGCATGTGAATTTGTCCACAAGCTAAACAAACACGAGATAGTTTTCCTAGTAGTGATAGTAGGGCTAGTCGTATTTTTGAAATGATACATTGTGATTTATGGGGGTCGTATAAGACGTCTTCTACTTGTGGTGCTCATTACTTCTTGACTATTGTTGATGATTTTTCGAGAGTTGTTTGGGTTTATTTATTGAATAACAAAACAAAAGTTTATTTTTCCTTCTGTTTTTTCTTTGCTATGGTTAAATGTCAATTTGATGCTCATGTAAAATGTGTACGGAGTAATGATGGTAGGGAGTTCAAACATATGCTTCCGTATTTTAATGAAAATGGCATTCTTTTCCAAACCTCTTGTGTTAGCACACCACAACAAAATGGACGGGTTGAGCGTAAGCATCAAAATATTTTAAATGTGAGTCGGGCATTGATGTTTCAAGGCAATTTGCCAATTGATTTTTGGGGTGAATGTGTCCTTGGTGCGGTGTATTTGATTAATCACACTCCCTCTCATTTACTAGCCAATAAAACTCCATATGAAATTCGTTTTAGCAAAGAACCTAATTTTGGTGAATTGCGTGTTTTTGGGTGTCTTTGTTTTGCTCATAACCAAAAAGAAAAGGGCGACAAATTCGCCTCTAGAAGTAGGAAGTGCGTGTATGTGGGTTACCCTCATGGCAAGAAGGGTTGGAAGGTGTATGATTTAGAGACCGGTGATATATTTGTCTCACGTGATGTTAAATTCTATGAAAATGAATTTCCATATGTGCATAAAAGTGATTCAACTTCTGCTAATGTGAGTACCGAAGGCATGACAAACAACAATGTTGGGGTGGATCATGATTTTCTAGATGACTTAGAGCATATTTTAGAGGTGAGTGAGGACTGTCTTATGCCTGAAAATCCGCCCAGCCCTCCTATCCATGCTGCGGATCTCACGGCTATTGCTGCTCCTCAAGGCCGCCTACACCGCAGCCTACCTGCGGCTACTGCAACTCCTCAAGGCAACATACACCGCAGCCCACCTGCGGTTGCTGCCCTTTCCCACAGCCCTCCTGCGGCGTTGTAGACACCTAATTTGATGTCTCCCCAAAATGAAACCCGATGATGAAGGTTACCTACTCGTTATATTTACAGTTGGTTTTGATTCGCAAAGTGTGCACGATTTTCTAAGCCTCGCCCAATTTCTATCCGTATCTCTAAGCCTTAATCCCATGATCCCTTTAGCCCAAAATTATTTCGTGTCTTTAAACCTTCTAAAATTCATTTTCGTGCCTTTTCATAAGTCCACACAAAAATCCATAAGTTAATTCAATGGCTAAGCCCTAATTAATAATGATCCACTTGCTACGCTCTAAAGATTGGATTGGCCTGAAAAATATATTTATTATTTTGGTCCTATTCTTTCTCTATTGGATCAGTCTTGAAAAGAGCTTTCCAACGGTATATTATAAGCCCAATTCCGAGTTATATTTTAGAAGTTATGGCCATTTTATTGAAACCGGTCCAAGCTGTCAATTTAAGTTCGTTACGAGATTAATTCATAATTAGGCCCGAATAAGCACGTCCAAACCCAATTAAATCTGATTAGATCCATTTATTTAATCAGGTTTTTATTATTTATTTTCCAAGATTTTATTAGAATTATTTAATAAGTAATTCTTTTAATTATTTTAAAGTGAAATTGTAAAATTCTATCTTTTATTAAATCTTGGAAAATCTATCTCCTTATTTCCTAGAGATTCTTGGACTGATTTTTTATCCCCCTTGGCCGAATAAAATCAGTTAGGGAAGGGGAAGATAATTTTTGTTTTATTAAGATTATTGTTAAAAATAATTAATCTTTAAATAAATCTTTAAATTCCAAAATTATCCATTATTCTTGAATCCTAAACCAAGGAGAAGTGATTCTAATTGGCCAAATAGGATTAATTTCCAAGTGATTTAATTTCTTAAATTTATTTTATTAAAGATAATTATTCATAATATTTATCTTTCTTTGAATTTTAATTACAAGCCGTCGGATTAGCTAAGAATTGCAGGATTCATCCAAGGCCATTAGATCAAGTGGCCGGCCATCCCCTTCTTTTCCCTATAAATACTCAAACTTTTCACCTCATTCAACACACAACAATCACGAATAAAAACTCTAGAGTTTGTATTGACGAACTCTCAACTTCTTTCTGTTTCTTTAGTTTTAATTTTAATACTCTAGAACTTGTATTGACGAGTTCTCCACTTCTCCCTCTTTCTCTAATTAACACGCTTAATTTAGGATTTGAATAATCCTCGCCCATCATTGCACCACGCCATTGCATACTTTGCGATTCTAATCCATTGAAGCCTAAACGAAAGAGGTTTAAAACCTGAGGGTTTCAATATTCAAATTCATTATTTTTATTATTTTATTTAATTTAATTATTTAATTTATTTTAATTATTTTCCCTTGTCAATACTAACGATTTCCTTTGCGGTGTTTTGTAAAGCTATAAGGCAACGCATTCGAGGTGGGTTTTCCTAACACACTCTTTCAATTATGTAGCATCATGCTAGGTGTTGTTTTCAGTATGTAGTATCCTGATTAGGCTTTTTAATTATTTCCTATTATTATTGCTATGCGCATGATTTATTTAGAGGCATGCTAGGAATATATTATGTTTAATACATGTTGAATTACATTGGATTAATGCCTTGATATATGCATGATGATGAATGTTTAGAAAGCATGTTTAGGCGTTTTCGATTTATTTATGCATGTACATGCTATGCGTGTGTTTTGAATGATGCGTTTATTGATTTATTATACTCGTTGCTATGCCTCACGCTATTTTTAGGAATTAATAGAGAAAATCTGTACATGCCATCACGCTTTAAATCAGATAATTAATTAATCCTGTTAGATTAAATTAAACCTGACTAATTCAAAGTGGTCACTTTAATATTCTAGGATTATATGTGCTTTAGGATAGTCCTTAAATCACCTAGACATGATTAGTAATTTAGGCTAGGATTTAATATGTTGTATGAATCAATCACATGCATCGCACATTCGCAAGAAAATCTAGTAGAGGCCATAATGGGCGGATTTGTCGATGTAAACAAATTCGTACCCTCATCCCCGAATCCCTATTGGTTCCTGACCAGTACCGGTGTCAATCTCATAGATTGTGGTGGATGTTTTGAACCTTCCTCATACTCTATGATAAGGTTATGAGTTTCCCAAACTCATTGGCGGCTCCTTTACATCATCTTCCTATGATTAGCCAAAGCGTCATCTTAATACATGACATCACCAGTAGGGCGAGCAAAAATTCCCTACAGGCGTCTTCTGCCGAGTCTACTGCTCCAGCTACTCCCTCGGACAGCAACCCCATGGTTGATCCGCATTCCCCCTCTGCTACCTCTATTGATATGGGTCGTGGTCAAAGGGAGAGGCATCCTCTCAGTAGGCATCGTGATTACGTCGCACATACTATATCTCTTTCGAGTTCATCTATTCCTCAAAGTTCATCGTCTACTCCAAGCTCCTCAGGTACTCTTTATCCTTTAGCACACTTTGTGAATTGTAATAATTTTTCCTTGCGACACCGTGTGTTTATTGCAGCTGTGGATACAATGGTTGAGCCTTGGAACTTCAACGAGGCAATGAAACATGAGGGTTGGCGAGAGGCTATGGAAAAAGAGATTACTACTCTCAAAAATAATGAAACATGGGTGTTAGAAAAATTACCTCTGGGTAAGAAAGCTCTCGGTTGCCGATAGGTATACAAGGTCAAGCTTAACTGAGATGGCACACTTGAGAGATTGAAGGCTCGCCTTGTTATATTTGGTAATCATCAGGTTGAGGGTATTGACTATACCGAGAATTTTTCCCCCGTTGCTAAAATGGTCACTGTCCGTGCTTTTCTTGCGGTTGTTGCTGCGAAAAATTGGGAATCACACCAAATGGATGTCCATAATGCTTTCTTGCACGGTGATCTTGATGAGGAGGTTATGAAGCCCCCTCCTGGTTTTCATGGTACTCAATCTGGTTTGGTGTGTCGTCTTCGGAGGTTTTTGTATGGCCTACGACAAGCACCTCGATGCTGGTTCTCTAAACTGGCCATTTCTCTGAAAAGGTACGAATTTTTGCAATCGTACTTTGACTATTCTTTATTTACTCTGAATAATGGGGCTATTCATCTTAGTGTTCTGGTGTATGTTGATGATTTAATAATTTCGGGCAATGATTCTTCTGCGATTTCGACATTCAAATCATATTTGAGTGACTGTTTTCATATGAAAGATTTGGGTGTGTTGAAGTACTTTCTTGGTATTGAAGTTGCTCGGAGCCCAGAAGGCATATTTCTATGTCAATGGAAATATACTCTTGATATTATTGCAACGTTTGATTTGTTAGGGGCACGTCCGGTAGGTACCCCTATTGAACAAAATCATACTCTGGCTAAATCCGAAACTCTTCTTATTGCTGACCTTGAAAGGTATCGTCATCTGATTTACTTGTCTTTTACTAGACCTGACCTGGCTTACACAGTACATATCTTATCACAATTTATGCAACAACCTCGTCAAGATCATTGGGAGGCCGCCATTCGTACGGTCCGTTACTTGAAAGGATGTTCGGGTTAAGGAATACTATTGAGCTCGGAATGCAATTTACATTTGACAGGTTGGTGTACTCGGATTGGGCTAGTTGCCCTTTGACGAGACGATCAATTTCTGGTTGGTTGGTTTCTTGGTGGTTCCCCTATTTCTTGGAAGACTAAGAAGCAACATACTACTTCTAAGTCTTCCGCAGAGGCAGAGTATCGTTCGATGTCTAATATAACTAATGAGTTAAAATGGTTGAAGGCATTACTTGACAGTTTGGGAGTCTCGCATCCCCGTGCGAAGAGCTTGTTTTGTGATAGTCAATCAGCGTTAGGGTTAGGCTCGTGCGATGCATGATTTTAACAATAATTTTTTGACTTATTTGTGTGTAATATGTAGTATGTACAAACAATTTTTTTTTTAAGGGCGTATATATAAATAATTTAAACAAAATCTAATAAATTGATAAGTTAATAAAGAGCGGAAACCTCAATTTATATAATTTGTATAAAATATACGGAGTAGGCGGAAAGGTAATGTTTATAGGAAAATAAAATATATAGTCCAACTACCCTTTTTTATACTCCATTGAAAATTGTGTAATTAGTCAATTTAAATATAAAATCTGTTAGAAAAATGTATAATTAATGTACCATTTTCAAACTATTATTTATGTTGAAAAAAAATTAATGACGTCATTATTAGTTTTGGCGGGAAACATTTTTTATGGGAGATTGACATGTGGATAGTAATGATGTCATAGATAATTACTTTAGTTATAGTTATAGATTGATGTATGGATAGCTCATTATGAATGGCATTGGTTGTAACCATTATATATATATATATATATATATATATATATATATATATATATATATATATATATATATATTTATGCAAAGGTTAGGAAAAAAAAAGAATCTTTAGAAACCCAAGCAAAACTTTCAAACAATCAAGTCCAGTTTGTTATGGGTAAATTCAAGTCTCAGGTCACATGCATGTCATGTCATGTTGAGTAAATCTAGCATTTTAGGTCGTTTGAATCCAAATTTGTGTTAAATCTAACTATGTCCAGACATGTCAGGTTGTTTACCCTATTGTTTGATTGACATCAGATTCAGGTCGGATTTAATATCTAGTACAAGTTTTATCTAATTTGATTTGGAGAGGGTTTATGATGGGTATCTTTGGGTTTGATATTTGTTAGGGCCAAATAATCATCAAGTGATCAAGCCATTTTTTATCCTAGTTGGACTCATATCGATCTATTTGGATCGCCACAAACTTACTGTATATAATTATACTTTCCATTATTCTACTAATAAACCAAAATCAAAACTTACAATAATGAAGTTGTTGACCTTTGAAGAGTTTTGATTATGATGAGAAAAAAAACTTCATCTAATGAGTTTTCTCTAGTGTGGGATTAGCTTGCTGGTGAAGTAGACTCAAGGAGTGAAAATTAATCTGAGCTAA